TCCTTTGGTTATACGTAAGTTTTAGCACTTTTCTTTCTTTAAGGGACAAGTCTGAGGCAGCTACTAGCAAAACAGAGGTAGATGGAGGTAAAGCAAAATCAATAAAAGGGCAACAGGAAACTCAATACGCTCTTTCTTCCGAACAGTGAGAGGAGCCCTATTCATTTCCCCCTCACATGTATTCTTTTCATTCCCCCACCACATTCTTTTCAAGCCCTAGTTTCTAAGCAATGGCCTGCAGGCATGGAATAAAAATAGTTCTGCAGTTAAACCTACTTACTGTAAGAACTCGGGGCAAGTTATTTAACACAAGTTTCCTTACGTGAACAGTGAGGATAATATGTACCTTACGACGTTGTTGGGGGCTCCAGTGAGATAATAGCTATAAAGTGTCACACAGTAAATGCATAACAAATGTCAGCCTCTTTGCCTGGCCTCTTCCTTGCCAAATTGTATCAATTTTCCTTTAAATGTGTTGACTTTAAAAATTCAAGCCATTGAAAATCAAAAGTTCACATAAAGGACATCAAAAATTCCAAACTTTCATTTCACCCTATGCAGAATAAACCTTTTGACCATGTCCTTGTGAACTTATATATTTAGCAATGTGCTATGCACAAACTTAAAGAACCAGCAGCAAAACTCTGCCTCCCCCTTAAAACCTTGCTGGTTTGGAATTTATTCAACCAGATAGCAAGAGGGAGCCTGGAAATCTATTCCAACCCGAATTTTACAGGTAAAGAAAGTGAAGCTCAGAGTGACTTGCCCAAGTCCACTAGTGTAACTAGTACACCAGTTAATGGCAAAGAATAGACAACAACTTCTAACACTGGTTGCAAGTTGCCCACAGAGGTCAGTAGGTCGAAGAGATGAGAGGAAAGAGAGAGGCTTCCGTGGGGAGCCCAGCTGTGCTCCAGCTCAGTTACGTGGGAAAGAGGGCCGAGCATTGCTAGAACTTCTAATATTTACAGAGATCCTGGAAACTTGAGACTTCATAAATAATCCACTCAGTTTTAAAGGTTGGCAATGCATTAAACATTTTCTAAACCCCTCTTTAGGTCTAATGGGCTGGATTTGGTCTACAGCTGGCCAATTTGAGGCCTCTGCATCCTGCGAACCCTAATTTAAATGTCGTTTATTTAATTTGCTTTCTCAAACTCCCTGCTCAAAAAACCTTCAATGGTTCCCCACTTTCTATAACATAAAACCGAACTCCTTAGCCAGCCCTTCAAGGCAATCAATCGATGATGATATTGAAGACCCCAAACTATATTTCTACCTTACGATCAGTCTCCATCTTCCAGGGTGACCAGAATGGCCACTGACTTCTGTTCTAGGTCCAGAAATGCCCAGGTCACATGGGATGCCCCTTGGTCCCCAGACCTTTCCTTTTCATGGAATGCCAACCATCTGTGTGCTCCTTCAGTGAAAGTCTGTCTATATTTAAGTGTCTCACTCAACTACAGCCTCTCCCCAGCACATCCCTTATGGTGCTGGTTAAAAGCCACCTTCCTCTGAGTTTCCATAGGACTTTATGTCACTCATAGGACACCTACCGCATACTTGTTGTGGAGTTACCTGTATCTTTCATGTCCCCAAGCACCTAATAAAGTTCCTGGAAAGAAGGCGTTTGGGTCTGAAGACTACAGTTAAACCCCTCTTTATCCACATTGTGGTTTCAGTTACCGGCCATTCACTGAGGTCTGAAAATATTCCAGAAATAACTTGTAAGTGTGAAATTTCATGCAGTCTGAGTAGCCCGAAGATACTGCAGGCCTTTCCGATCCCCCACCTGGGACATGAATCACCGGTCTGTCCCACACATCCATGCTGCAGAAGCTCCCTGCCCGGTAGTCTGGCTCCCTACCCTGAATCCTGGGTCAGTCACCTGGGTTACTGGATGGACTGCTGCAGTATCACAGCGCTGTGTCCAGTCACCTTTATTTTACCTAACAATGTCCCTGATGTGTAAGAGTAATGCTGACAATTTGCAAGAGCCAAAGAGAAGCCATAAAGTGCTTCCTTCGAGTGAAAAGGTGAAAGTTCTCAACTTAAAGAAAGTCAAAAAACTCGTGGGTTGAGGTTGCCAAGCTCTATAGTAAGAATAAATCTTCTATTCACGATAGTGTGAAGGAAGAAAAAGAAACTCATGGTATTTTGCTGCCGTACCTCAAAATGCAAAAGTTACGGCCACAGAGCATTTAAATGCATAGTTAGGATGGAAAAGGCATTAAATTTGTAGGTGGAAGAGATGGACAGAAAATGTGTTCCGACTGATGACAACATGTTGTGCCTGAAAGCACTGAGCCTCTGCAAAGACTCAAGGGAGGCCCTGGAACGTGGGACCGTGAGCCACTTATTTCAAGAGACAGTCATGATATTTTGAGGAAATGACCAAAACTACATAATTTTTAATACAGTATGTTGATACAATTGTTCTATTTTGTTATGTTATTGTTAATCTCTTACTATGCCTAATTTATGCCTTAAACTGTATCATAGGCATGTATATACAGGAAAAAATATACTATATGTAGGGTTTGGTACTATCTGTGGTTTGAGGCATCCACTGGGGGTCTTGGAACATGTCCCCAGAGGGGACACTATGGTATGTTGAATATCCTCACAGTGCTTTGTACAAAGCAGGGGGCTCAATAACCATCTCAGAAACGTTATCCTTTTACACTGAAAACTGGTGAGTTGAATATACAGAAAATATTTTTGTAGGATTCTATGGCATCTGTACATTTACAGGCAGACTCCTGAGTGAAGCAGAAGGGGCAAAGGCCGCACTTCCCGGGGTCCCTAAACCATTCTCCCTGCTACCACTTTCCCCTCTACTCCCTACTTTCTACTTGTTTTGAGATTCCCTCCTTTGGAATACTCCCATCTTTGCCTCAGATAACATTGATTCTATGAGGCCACTGTTGAATATTCATCTCTTACATAAAAGTGTTTCAGGGCAGTGGGTCTTTCTCTGTGAGTCAGGTTAATTTATTAGATCTGATGGTTATCAGTTGGCAAGGCCCACGGAGCTGGGATATCAGGGAACAGACACTGTCCAAATAGTTAAGTTGCTGTAAAGCTGATGAAAAGCCTGGCCATCAACCAAGGGTAATTCTGAGAATGGGAATCCTAAACTTTTATCTCACATTTTGTTTTTCTTCAGCCACCCCCATTTTCAGCCTCCTATTTTCAGTTACTGCCAAAAAAAAAAAAAAAAAAAAAGAAAAAGAAAAAAAGAAAAATTAAACTCCATTTAATTTTTACTGGCCTGGTCAGCACTAGAGGCATTCAATAAACTGTTTGCTGAATGACTTTTTAAAAATCAACTTTTACTTTTGATTAAAAAACAAATGCAATTACTAAAAGGGTAAGAGATGACAGTCTTACAAGTCAGCCTGAATTTGCACAATAATAGGAAAAGTCGATGTGGTCTTACCTCACACTAGCTATAACTCACATGTCAGCTGAGTAATTTCAATTAGCATATTCTGGACTGACCCTTCCTAACCTTTATGAATAAATTGTGAAAGACAAGTCAAGTTTTGCAAATGAAATCCTCACATTTATGTCACATGATAATCTGAATTCAGGTCTCAAAGAGCCAGGACAACTTTGAATTCTAGGAAACACTCAAGGAAAACAATGGCACACATTTCCACTGTGAAAACAATGGTTTCTCCTGTTTTGAACGATGCCGTGGGAGGCCACATCTACTTACCACTCTAAGTTCCTGACCAAAAGAGAAAAATTCATTCTTCAATTTTTATTAGCAGGGTTCCTAGTATAAGCACATTATAATATCATATAAGCTCACAACATATACTAGCACTAGCCTAACACTTACTCAAATAGCTTCCCATAAAAAGGAATTTTCTCTGTAACTCCTGTGGGTGGAAGAAAGGAGAAATGGAATAGTTTCCCAACCGGGGGAGCAAGAGGCTCTGGGCCCCCATATTTGTCCTATTTTAGCATATGTTGTGGTCAGACTTAAGGCAATAGTTTCCCCTCTGTAGAAAACTAAGGTGGACATGCTTACTTTGTCTTTACATAAATCATCTTGGGTTAAATGTTTGAAACAGAATTTTAACATTTCAAGTGACATTCAAAACCCTTTTTATCCATAAAAGGATTTTGGACATTTGTTCATTGGTTAGAAACCCCACAACAAATATTTTATGGTTATATTGTTGCAAAATAAAAAGGCCTGTGGATTTGGTAAAGAACCCGATCGAAGTGACACAGTAGGGTGGCCTGGAATGCAGGTATCAAGATCCCTCGCCTTCACCAGAAAGATAACAAAAGCAGCTAGAGGAAGGGCCGTCGGAGGTCTTTTTCTGATCTTCAATCAAACCCGTACTGAAAGGGCAGCCCTGGTCCTCCAGTTTCCTTTGATGTCCTTAAGTGTATATTTCCAGTGTAAACTGGAATTATTTAGGCTGACAACGTTTTCCCAAAGGGCCAGTGAGGTTTAGCCGCGCTCCTCGCGCGGAAATGCAGGAGCTGCACCGAGGCAGCGGGAACACACACGCTCAGGCAGAGCATCTGCGCAGTGGTGACATCTGGTTGCTCTTAATGAGTTCCCTGCTTCCGAGAGGGTGGTGTCACTGTTTTTAACTGTAAAGTGATCCTGGGGGGGAAATGTGGACATAGGAGATTCACCCCACGCTCCCAGACTCCTGGGAGAACAGGGCAAATTCAGGCCGGAGAGGCGGGCTTGTTCGGGGCCAGGAGGCCCAGGAGTGACCCCGCAGAGGTCAGGGCCGCAGACCTGCGCGCCCCACCCCGGGGGACTGACGCCCGGGAGCGGAAGCCCGGGGACCCCCGCTCGGCCAAAGGAGGGGCAGTTAAGTCAGCGAGCGCGGACACCGGGCCGGCTCGTCCCACGTGCACCGCCCGCCCGGCGTCTCTGCTGGTGGGCGCGAGGACGGCCGGGGAGCGGGAGGCGCCGCGGGCCCGCGCCCGTCCGCGCCGGGCGGCGGGGCGGTGGCCCTTACCTGGTTCCTGCGGTACCACTCGCGCGACAGGGAGCCGTTGCCGGCGCCCGGCGCCCCGTACGTGAAGTTCTGGGGCAGCCCGTCCAGGGCGGCCGAGGCGGCGTCCCCGGGGCCTCCGAGCGCCCGCGCCGCCATTAGGTCTCGCTCCCGGCGCTCGGGCTCCGGCTCGGCCGCCCCGCGGCCCGGATGCTCCGCGAGGCTCCGGGAGGAGGCGCGCCCCGCCGAGGCCGCGCCCGGGCCCCGCCGCGGCCACTTCCTGCTCGACGCCGGGGCCGGACCCGCGCCCCGGGCCACCCGGCTCCCGCCCGCGCGCGGCCGCAGGTGCGCCTCTCGCCCTGCCCCGCCCGGCGCCGCGCGGCCTCGCTCCTCCCGCGCCAGGTGCCCGCGGGGAGCCCCGCCGTCTGCGGCCTCGAGGGACGGCCCTGCCCGCTCCACATCCCCCGCCAGTGCCTCGGGCAGGTCCACGCTGCCCCGGACTCGCCACCGCGCCGGCCTGCGCCGGTGGTGTCCGCACCTGTCAGGGCGACAGTGTGGTCATCGCCAAGTACCCTGCCAGCCCTTCTAGCGGGCGCTTAGTCACTGTGTTGAGGCGACTGGGAGTGAAAGGAGACGCAGGCCATTCCAAAGCAAGCTACCTTTGCTTGCCTGTACCTGGCAATTCCAGCTCTCCATTGCCTACATAGTGTGCCTCACCTGTATTTTGAAATTGTTCGCATATGGAAACGTAATGAGTTCCAGAAAATATTGTAAGCAAGCCGAGAAGGAAGATTCTCTAGGTTAAACTCAATGCCAACACTGGCTAGATCCTTCCTGGAATAAAGGAGAGAACCTCCAGGGGTAGCTGGAGGACCCCAACCTGTGCTTGGGGTTGGATAGGGCTTCCTTCCAAAGCAATCAGAAGGACTTGCTGAAAGGTTGCCAGCTACTGGATGCAGGAATTTAGGATGAAAGATAAGTGTGTTGTTAATGGTCTTAAGGAACTCTAACCAGATGGTTGCCGGTATTCAATTCTGCTGTGTTATAATACTCTAAAGGATCTGCAAGGTTTCTCTCACCTTTGGAATGTAATGATCCTACATTGTTAACCCCTAGTGCTGGAACTTGCCTTTGTTTATTTGCTTACAGAGAGCTGAGATTCTTCTTCTATAGTGTGCTTTGACTGCCACAACTTCAGGAGAGAGAGGCATATCCTAGAAAAGAGGATGGCTGCCTAACGGGGAACAGAAGGAATGTGCAAATGAGTGAAGAAAATGGGAAAGAGTCATTTCAGACACAGAAGAAACAAGACAAGTCATCTCAGAAGTTGTAGGATTTCTTGCTTGAGCACGCCAAGTGTTTGGCAAGCCGTTCATATGGTAGATAGTTCCACTTGTAAGAGGCTGGTTTATTTCGAATAAACATCTGAAAGAAGAGTGCCTATTTTGAGTATTTTCTATACATCACATGCATTTGTGTTGGTGATTTTATTCATGCTTCTCGGTTGCAATGCCTTGGGGTTCAAGAAACAGAACAGCTAAGTTAAAGTGGCTTCAACAACAAGCGTCTGTTATCTCTGGAGGGTGGGGAATGTGGCTATTTGTGGTTCTATGATGCCCTCATTTCCATCTTTTCGCTCTGCCATCCCCGAGGTGTTGGCCTTGTCCCTTTTCATGGTGGCAGCTGCAGGCATTACAGGCAAGCATGACCACATTTAGAAAGGAAGTGGGCATTTCTTTTCGTGCGTCTTTTTATTACAGAGGAAAACCTTTCTCAGAACCCTCCCAGCAGCCTTCCCTCTCAGGTCTCATTAACCAGGACTGGGTCACATGTACATGTGTTACCTGCAAGGGAAGCTGGGAAAATGGCTCGGGCGTTTCCAACCTTCCGAGAGGGAAGTGAGCTCTGCTGGTAGGGAAGAACAGGGGTGCAGAGGGAGGGCGCCCCCAGCAGAGCCGGGAACGGCCACTCTAGTATATTCTATCTGCCAAATTGTGACTAGTCAGTCATACAGTATCAAGCAAAATAATAAATGGATCAGGTTTCTTTACTGTTAAAAATGCTTCCAAACCTCCCCACTGATGCAATGAAGTCCACACTTCTTAAGCCTGGCATATTTGAGAGCCTTTAGGATCTGGCCCCCACACTCTGCTATACTCAGCTCATTCCCATTTTATTTTTTTAATTAAAACAATATTTTCAGGTTCTTGGATTTGTTTAAAAATCTCTCATGCTAGAGAAAGACAGCACTTGGTGCAGAATAGGTATGATGTGCAGCCCGTGACGCACTGTTTGTTCTCCGGATTCCAGGAAGCCGCTGCAGTTGCTCTGGCTGTCCTAGCAAGTGGGGGGGTGGCTGAAACAAAGACTTCGTGACCAGGGTTCCTTCCCACACAGTTCACAAGGAGGCGGCAGCAAGAGCGGTGTGAGCTATTTTGGTCCCAGCAGTGTAGGCAGAGCTGGAGGCTGTTCAGGACTTTGGGATGGCTCTGCCTCTTGCTGGGGTTTCTTCAGGGGGTGTCCTGTTCACTGCAGAGGATGCCAAGCGCCTTTGATCGACATCCTGTCCTCAGCGCTGGAAAGATGGAGGTCTGTCTTCCTCGGTTAATTCAAAGAATTCTATTCTGGTGCCACATCATTTGAAGCTGGGCTTCGTGGTGAACTCAGAGAGCGGGGTTACATTTTGCCCACCTTGCCTGGGATCACCTCTTGCAGCATCCACACAATAGATGTGTTTATTGAAATTCATCTTCAGTGTGAATCAGTCAATACTCATTTCATTAATGATGAGTGTCCAAGGGCAAAGGTAGTTATTATGATAAATATTAATTCAGATATCTCACTTCATATACAAAAGCCAACTTCAGGCTATATGCTTTAAGGAGAAAAGCAAAACTTTAAACATTTTAGAATAGCATGATATGATTTCTACAGTGGATATTTTGAACAGTGTTAAAATGCAGATGTTACAGGCAGACTGTCTGGGTTCAAATCCTGACTCCAGTGCTTATTTGCTGTGTGACCTTGATCGAGTTGCTTAATTTCTCTGTGCCTTTCTTCCATCATCTGTGAAAGGGAGATCATGAGTGCTGAAACAGAGAAGGTAGTCAGTAAGTCCTGGCCTTTACTATGTATGACTTTAGGATAGGGAAAGATTCCTTAAACAAACAAACAAACAAACAAAAAATACAAACCACAGAGGAAAATTGATACATGCAATTAAATGAAATTAGGGCTTTTATACAACAATAGAGTACAAAGTATGAAAAGATAAATCACAAACTGAGAACATTTATTTGTCACACATAGACTGATAAAGGATTCACATCCAGAAATATATAAGTAACTCCTTAGGAGTCTGAAAAAGTGGCATTTCAAAGACATGTTAACCTAGTCACACAAAAACATCAGACAGGACTCTCTTATGGCAAAGATAAGCCTTTTACTAAAGGAGTTGTAGGCCTGGGGCATGACCACCCACCATGACCCACCACATCAGGAATCCAGGATCAGATCACCCTATGCGATTACTCTGAGTTAGGTCTATTACAGCACCGCCCCCTTTATTTGGTCCACACTCAGGTCCCAGGTTCATAAAGCTAAAGGGAAGGTGGCAGATTGATTACTGTTCCCAGTCCTTGGTGTTCTCGGTGCAGGGATGTCTGCCTTATACATCCCTTCATTGCTGAGTGACTGCAGTGCAGTTCCTTTCACTAGAGGCATCTTCCTAGGGATACTGGGTTTGGCCACCTGGCTTGCTTTGGAAATGGGGGCAGAGCAACAATAGGACAGTTCTGGGCCAAGACCTTAAGAGGTATCCTTCTTACTCCGTGCTCCTGTGCTCCATCCTGAAAAAAGTATGCTGCAACCAGCCACTGGTCCAGAGAGAATGCAGAAACCTGTGGAACACACCTCAAGCTAATCCTTGCCACACCTGACATGTATGCCCACAGACAAGAAAGTAAATATTGGTTGTTACAAGCCCCTGAGATTTTGAGAGTATCGCACAGCAATGCCGATAGATTAAGAGCATTCCCAAGCAGCTTCATTTTGAGAATCCTGGTGAAAGACTCTGACTGGCCTGCTATGGGACATGTGACCCAGTCCAGGATCAGTCACTGAGGATAGTGATTTGGTACCATGAGTGACCCTCCTGGGTCACATGCCCACTTCGTTCAGGGAGGAGGGAGTCAGTTACCAAGGTGAGGAGAAGGAAAGCTGAGTAGACAAAAGCAATAGGTAATATTGTGGAGAACCTGCATAGAGCAGTGCCACAGAAATGGGCAGGAGAGAGGAGCAAAAATGAGGGTGTGTTGAATAATGCCATCGACAGCAGAAAGGACAGCGAGGCAAGAAATAATACATGTAGGTTGGCTTTGGCAATAATGACGAATAAAGGTCACAGGTGATTTTTTTCTCTGAACAGTTTCAGCTAAGTGTTGGAGTGACTGCCAGGCTATGGTTAATGATAATATTTCAATAAATTCAAATTCACTATAGGAATGTTAGTTTTTTTTAAAAACGACCTTAGATAAGGAACAGGTTAGGCGTTTGATCTATTTCCTCATCACTTTGAAGCCACAGGAGGCTTTGGGAAGGGGATTGTGGGAGATGAGTGTTGAGGAGGGGGAGCTCCCTGGAGGGTGGAGCCGAGCTGAAGGTGGAGCACCGTCCTGGGGTGACCCTTGGCCCGCAGCAAAGGGAATCGCTTCTTTGGGAACCCTGTGAACAAGAAGATGGGATCCAAGCCACAAAGAATTTAAAAGAGCCGGGTTTAGGGAGAGGTCACAAGGGTGGGGAGAGAGGTCAGGGAAGGAGAGAACTTATAAGACTAGCTGGTCTCAGGCCTGGAGAACCAAAAACAGAGCCAGCTCTGGACACGAGCATTCGATGAACACCATGTTAATGCAGTGTCCTTCCCTTTTAGGACACTGACCTTTTCTCGACTTCTTGAGAGACCGCTCTTCTTCTCCTTCCCCTGTCCTTCTCATTTTGTCCCTCCTGCCTTTACTGCTGTCGGGCCGTGTAGGACTTCCCAGGGCGGTGTCCCACCCAGCGGGGCCTCCCCAAACAGCATCCTGGCATCTCCCTCTACCTCATCTTTGATCATGCTGTCTTACGTCTCATTCTTTTGCTTTCTGCTTTCAAAGAGGCCTCTGGGAATGAATCCATCCCAAACACTAATATAATAGATATTCTTCTGCATTATTTGCCTTTCAAATGGGCTTTCCTGGTAACATGACATTGTGTCCCCAGGAGTTATTTTGTCAATGGAGGGAGAATTTGGGCAGATGGAAGTGGGCATGCAAAACTGTCCCTCAGATTTTACCACGTAACAGGTTTGTCACTGATGAGGCTGGTCCTGAACTGTAGGAGGTACTGAGGGAGGTTCAATAACAATCTCACTGTCAGGAA